TCAGGTACTGAATTCCATGTATCATACAGGCTAGGTAAGCAGACCTAGAGCTAAGCTAAACAGAGGTCAGTAAAGTTTGGGTGTGTCTGCAGTTGCTGTGTCTCTGCCTTTTTAGAGCAGATGTTCATTTGTCTCTGAGGTCTGGGAGTCCCCTCAGTGGGGAGAACACATACACTCGTTATATCTCCTTATCTGGTGCCCTCTCTCACTCTTCTGAAGGTCTCCAGTGCACTACAGTACATACAAACTGCATTTCCACACAGCTACAGTAGCTAAATGTAAACCAGTACACTATCTCCCTTCTCTCTCTCTCCAGTGAAAACTAAGATGATGAGTCACTCTTCAAGTCAGACATCTTGATTACATAAATGTTCACCCTGCCTGCAACCCCTTAACCCAGCTGCCTATGAAGGTCACTAATGCTTCTTATTACAACCAGTCTTCCCTGTACCGGATATCTCCTTCAAATCTATGTGGACACATTCCAGAAAAATATAAATAATCAATTAAATTGTAATCTCATAACACACCTTTGTTTATAATGGCAAAGAAGAGAGAGGACAGCTCTGCCACTGCCAGGCTTCTAGGCGGTTTGACACTGGCGGCCCTTATCCAATCAGTGAGGCTATGACTAAGGCAGGGGCGTGGCCCTTCCCTAATTAGCCAATTGTTTCTCCTAGTAACAAGACAAGTGTTGAGGCATGAGATCAGATTGGGAAAAAAGACGACTGTGTCCTTTGGATAGTTAGGCCTACTTACTGTGGTGGGAAAACAAAACACTCGTAATAGCATCCAGTTTTCATCATCCCAAAAAGGTTGATTTAGCAGGCAGTCTCATGTAGCCTTGGCAGCACATTGGCGTGTGGTTGAATAAATAGGGATGTTGTTGACGTTTCCTCTCTGAATTGTTATCGGTCACACAGACACAGCTTTGCCTCCGAGAGGAGAAACACCAAGGTAACAAATAGGGGGAAATATCAAAGCCTTTTTACACTGACAGTGACAATATAGACTTGGGCTACCACTGAAGTACATGTTATAGAGGATTGAGTCAGCCAAATATTCCTATCAAATCAGGGTGAAATATCTGACCAAATATTGATTAGATTTAATAGGCTATCAAACCAAGGCTGGCACCAAATCCTGACATTTCCATCACCTCAAGGACCTATAGGCTAGTGAGGGTAATGAAAAGACTGTTCTTCACTGCCATCTTGTGTTAACAGAAGAAAAAAAACAGTGTGGGCATGTAAATGTTGGTTAATCTGACACTTCAGCATCATAGGAAAAACACCTCTACAAGAGGACTTAATACAACTATATAGAAGGAGAACATTATGGTTTGCCTGTCTTCAAGGCAAGTTCCACACTTATGATTAAGTCATATTTGCCTAGATCCTCTGATTAGTAGTCACAGTGCTTCCTCTGATGTTTGCCACCACAAGCTACACTGTCACTGAATCAACAGGAAACATGTCAAATATTTACAGAATACAGACAGGGTTCCATTTTAGGGTACAGCACATATTGAACAACCCCATTCAGACCACGATCTCTCATCCAACAACCCCATTCAGACCCTGAGCTCTCATCCATGAGCCATGGAATAGGGGGATTGCATTTGTAAACATTTGGACAGACACAGTCCGTGAGATGGATTTGACCTCCGAGCTGAAAAAGCTGAAGCTGCTGAAATCAGGTGAAAGCCTCAGACAACATTTTGGGGGAAATTGTCTATCTTTGGGGGAAATTCTGGGACTCTTGCCAGGGGCTTTGCTGTAGAGGGGGACAGTGGACATAGTGTAGTCACTGCAATGTAACCTAGTGTAGTGGGTGTTTTCATACCGGCTGTGATTATCTGGACAGTCCATGGACGCCTGGTCATCAGAACCTGGTAGGATCTCCACAGGCCCGCCATTCTCCGCTCTATGCTGGAACACAGACAATCTAGTCAGAACCTCTTATAACTGGTCAGAACCCATATGCCTTGCCTTGTCATCACCTGATTGATTATTGTGTGTGGACATTGGTAGTTCAATATATAACTTTAGATATATGAGACATTACTATTTTCATTATGACAATATTATGACTTTTGAAAACAGCCAATGGTTGGGTGATATCAGTTCAGTTTCTTGATATCACTAAGTAGACAACAAAACGTTTATTTACTAATAACATGGACGAAGTAACTGCGGCCATATGGAAAATGTAGGCTAGCCTACTATGCAGCTCATGCAATCGAATTACTGGCAGGCAGACAGATGAATGACACGTGCTGCCACATAACGTTCCCCGCATTACATGATCACGGGGGGAGGGAGCAAAATTGGATTTGGACAACTCTACTACACTGTAACTAACTACCGCTAGCGATATCAATATGAAGTGTACGCAGTCATATTTGCCGTACTTAATGTAATCCTGAGAGTGACACTATTATATCTTTATTCAACATAAAAACCATGGTTCCTAGTCAACCAGGCGTAAAGCATCCTAATCCTAGCCTTGCAACCTCATTAACTAGCTAAATTACTCTCTGGAGTTCTGCCACTAACGTTACTCTGCCACCAATAAGAAAATTGTCATGCAAGTCTAACATTCCAGTCAAGCCAATCATATCTACATAATAAAAACGGTACAACTAGACAATGAAAGTGTTACAAAGAGAAAGAAGTAGAATAAAACGTTTACATGCCTGCCTTAATACAGATCCAACTGAGACACACACACAGACTATTCTAACCGACGTCACTTCCACAACAAATACAGCATCAGATGGATTATGTCACCCTCTGGTGGTGCAAGGCTAACCCTATGAGAAGTGACCAACATAGTAAGTATTCAGTTCTCTCTCACACACAGACAGTTGAACATGAATAGGGTAACACAAAACAAAAACATCCAATTCATATTATTTTATTGTTTCTTTGGACATGAAATGATAACATGAAATATTGCAATGTTTTGTGTGTGTGAAGATTCCTTTTTGCTAAGGGAACAAAAACAAAAAAAGAACAGCCCAATCAAGCCCTGTCCTTACATCATTCTTTTTTAAAATGTTGAATCAACAAAAGGCACACCCCCAAAAAAATCAAGATTCATGGAACATTGTTAAGCATATACATTTAACCAAGCTGTGTGAACCACACAAGTAGATATCCAGTAGTAACCAGGCACCCATGGACAGTTCAAGCTATACAAAACAGAAATGCGGGCGAGGTAACGGACATAGCTAAAGCTATGGAGATCCAGCAAAGACAACCAGTCTCCCTAAAGGAAATACATAAACATGTTTTTATTATATATACACACAACTTGACAAATATGGAACACTATGTTTACCGTCCAAATGTCTCTGAGCTAACAATATGCATATGCATTGTTTTGGCAAAAAATGCCTGAGGACATCTTTTGGATCCTCTTTAAGACACTATATTTAAACACTCATAAAGCCACTGAATCCTCAAGGTTCTGTCTTGCATCCTGTAACTATGAAGGCCAGAAAACATAAAATATTTAAATTGTCAAGCTGGTCAGCCTATTAAAACATGAAACAGATGATCCATGATGGTTTCAGCCAAGACAAAGCATGTCCCGGGGAATTTCTTTATTATACTATAACATACATTTTACGGCCTTTGTGAACCAACCAGGGGTATCAATTAAAATGAGAAAACATTAAATACACAAGGAAATAATTTACACAGAAAAAATATAATTCAATTAAAAATAGTGCTAAATAGTTAACAAAATAGCTACACTGACTATCTGCATTTACCCCTTTTACACCAACTTTGATTCTTCACATATGCTGCTGCTACTGTTTATCGATACTATTGCCTAGTCACTTTATTCCTAGTTATATGTACATATCTACCTCAATTGCCTCGTACCCCTGCACATCGACTCGGTACTGGTACCCCCTGTATATAGCCAAGTTATCGTTACTCATTTATTATTTCGTATCATCACTTTTCTATTATTTATCTCTCTTCATTGTTGGGAAGGGCCCATAAGTAAGCGGTTAGTCTACACCTGTGGTTTATGAAGCATGTGACGAATAACATTTGATTTATTACCCAGAGAAATGGCGGCAAAGTAAAAATTGCATCAACCACAACGCATAATATATAAGTGAGGGGGAACCTAATAAAATCCTTAAAACAAAAATGCCCTCAAGTACTAAATAATGTTCCCAATTCAAGTCAAACATCTTAAAGCATAATGAAGCGAAGAAGTCCCTTTTTTGCCTGAGACCTGTCACAGCTAAGGCAACAGTACACAATCTCCAGAAAGGATAGTCCAAAATGTCCATAGAAGATGTCTGTTAACTAATACTTAGGCTATATTGAGCTTAAAGCTACACTACCTTATATTTTCACTACCTACCTGGTCCATTGTACCCTCAGTCTGTAACGTACACTCTCAGTTATAATACAAAGTCTCCCTGTGCATAACAATGGTCATCGCCATAATATTCAGACATATGGCACTAACAGCCACTGACTGTCCTACTCTTCTTCCCTGATTTCATACTGTGGTGTGATTTGTCATCTTAACTATTTCTACGGATCCACTCAATATGTAAACATCAAAAGGACTAGAAATGGTCATCCTTCAACACAACAGAGGCTTTTTATTTCTCTTGATTCTTCCTCCAACTTCCCAGGTCCTGCTGCGTCAACAACAATCAAACGAGCAACATCACAAATCAAGTATTTTCATCAGTGAATAGATAGATTATCAATAGATATGTATGGTCTAATGGGCATTGGTAACAAAGCTAGGACTAATATCACGTTTCCTCCTCAGGAGAGTAGGTAGCCTTATGACCTTTCACCCTGCTCAGAGAGGGTAGAGTTGGCAAAGGGGCAGTGCCCAGGATGGCATGAGATGATAAGCAGCGCTGACTGAGTGGGAATCCTGAGCTCTTAGGAGCTGGTCAGTGGTTGGCTGGCATGGCTAAGTGCTTGTGTGATGGCCCCCCTAATTCCCCCTCAGCAAAACTTCAGCTCAGTAGTCCATCCCTTCATCACTCTCGGTCCAGTCCGAGGGAGTGTCCGTCCCAAAGTAACGGTCCCCGAAATTACCTGGAGGAGAGGAGAAGAGAGAGGAGAGCAGTCAATCATGTTATTATTGTGAATACATGAGTTGGACTAGTGTCAGTGAGGGATGTGTGATCAGTGGCAGTGCTGATGGAACATATGAGTCATCCGCAGCTTCCAGCTGGCTCATTCACCCCCCCCCTGTAAATATTCCCCAGGTTGTTGCTGTAAATGAGAATGTGTTCGCAGTCAACTTATTTGATAAAATAAGGGTTAAGTAAAATAAAATAAACATCTGAGTCAAATAAAATAAAATGTTATTTGCCACATGCGCCGAATACAACAGGTGTAGACATTACAGTGAAATGCTTACAAGCCCTTAACCAATAATGCAGTATTTTAAGAAGAACAAAAAATAAGTAAAAATAGATAAGTAAATAAAAAAAAAATTTTTTTTAAAGAAAATAATTAAAGAGCAGCAGTCAAATTAAATAACAGTAGGGAGGCTACGGTCTGGGGTGATTCATAACAAAGCCCATCCACTTGGGCCTGAATGGCTGTGGCACCAGCTATGTCTGACAATCTGGAAGTTTTCAACATGTGATTAGGTCATCACATAATGTCATATCACTAATGATCAGTCACACCACAAACAGCAGACTCACTGGATCTGCATTAGGCCACAGTTCTGAAGGGAAATCTAGATTAAGTGAGAATGATTGAGAACAACGTGTGTGAGAGAGAGAGAGCAGGAGAGAGAGAGAGAGAGAGCGCGAGAGACAGAGAGATAGCAGAAGCACCCACCAATGCCAGGGATGATGTGGAACTCGTTGTTGACCTTCTTGTCGACGGCGGTGGTGATAATGCGGACCTTAGGGAAGGCGTAGGCCACAGAGTGGACACCCATCTCAGCCATGAGTAGAGACAGCAGGAAGATCTTATCCTCCTGGACATCATGGTCCTACACCAGGTGACAGACATATGCAAATAGGGACCTTTAAAGACTATTGAAGGAAGAATGGTGGTTAGAGGGAAGGTTTTGTGACTGTAGCACACTGTGTAAGGGGAGAGAGGCAGCCACTTCCAGACTTGTGGGGATCTCAAGCTCTTCCCATTTCCACTGCTACCTGTCAAAGGCACTCCTTAATGGGGTTTGTCTGATATGTCTTCTGCACCTATCACATGCATACTACAACCAATGCTTCTAGTAAAAACACACACCTCCATGACTATCTTTTAAAGCTAGAATCCTTATTCGAAACAATAACAAAGCGGCCACCCCGCCTCTGTTTCGGTAAGAAGCTGAGGGATGGACCCACTCAAATCCATAGACTGAGCTACGGATGCAAAAACGGACCATCCATGATATCAATGATAGTTTTAACCATGTTTTGAGGCTATATAGTGTTTGTTCACGTTTACATTTACATTTTAGTCATTTAGCAGACTCACTTATCCAGAGCGACTTACAGTTAGTATACATTGTATATTTTGGTTTCTGATGGGGTACGACAGTTGAACTAAGCTCATGAGGCATTTATAAAAGTTAAATTCTTCAAGAATCAATGGGTATGTATAATTAGTTTATAAGTCCAAAAATGTATGTAGCAACTAAGGATTCTCGCTTTAAAAAGAGAGGCAGTCAAGTTTGCTTTCTGAGGACAAACAAAACCATAGACTTTGGCCACCATAGTGGATAGCCATAATTCTCCCCAGATGTTTACATTTCACATGGGGCGAAGGCTAAAGCACAGGAGCTGTACATTTAGCGCTATAGTCTTATCACAATGAGTAAACAGGGCCTCAAACTCACTGAACTCAAACCGTGTTTTATGACGGCAAACAAGCATCCCAATCTCTCCTTAATCTCCTGCTGCTGTAGCCGTCCACGGTATTTCCCTGTCATCTCAACAACCAACAAGGACAAGGCCTACTCTGCTATCTGTCATGTTCAGCCATGTCTCAGGGGTAACCAATCTGGATGCAGAACCATAGATAAACCCCCAAGCCTTAACGTCTCAACATAGGTGTGTGTTAGAGAAGACAAACATGAGAATATAAGACAACAGAAGAATACTACTAGACACGACAATTATATTAAAAATAGAAAATAACTATAATACTTTTAAACCCAGCTAATGCTAAATAGACTAGACCAGAGAAGTAGAATAAAGTAGAACTGACCAGCAGCACTCGGACAGCCATGAGAGCAGCAGCCCCAGTTGACACCGTGCTGTCCATCAGGATGACGTAGTCCTCACTGATGTCCTTAGGCAGACGCAGGTAGTGGAGCTGGACAGGGACGATAGGACAGTTTTATACAAATGGGACATTTTATACAATGGTTTTCATTTGGGCATTTTATTAACTTAAAATGTCATGTTTTGAGCATCTGTTGTGAATGAAACCAGTAAAGCTGAAGAAAGAAGGTCCAAAGCTTGAAGGCTATAGCTGGCATAGACATCACACAGTATATCAAAACAATATGGATGGTCTGTGATCCTGATGAGGCAATGAACCTGAGGTCAATGAGGCTAGTGTGTATCAGTTAGCCCAGAGACTGACACCTAGCCTTGAATGAAGTCACTGAGCCAAAACAGATGACCCATACACTCCTGGTTTATGATCTCCGGGTTGAAGAGTTCATGTCTGGGTGTGTATACAGCCTTGCAACACAGATAAGAGGGCCACACAAACACACAGAAGACTTTGTGAACTAAATGACTGTTTTTTTTGTGTTACCTCCGGCTCTCCAGTGTCATGGTTGGTCTGAATGAGGATCTTCCCCAGCCGAATGTCTTTACACACAGCCATCAGAGCCTGCTCCATGGTCTCCCCTGCTCTAAGTATGGACACGCCTGTGACCTACACACACACATTACATTGCATACCAGGCTTTACATTCCTTCACAGTTTAGTTTGTATGTAAACTTCCATTGAGCAGCCTGAAGGATCAGCATACTGAGCGCTCAATGTTACAGAGCCTGATGGTAGGAGACAGACATTTGCAGTAGAGTAATACAGTTATAACAACCCTGCAGTCTAACAGAGCTGCTCCCACTGAGAGCTACTCAAACACATCACCATACAATTACTGGAATTAATGATCCTCTCAGGCCCATCAACACACTTTATGACTCAAGCCGTTTTCACTGCAGGCATCTAGTAAAACGTATGTTAACAATGCCTATAGTCCTTTATTCATGGTGATGAACAAAACAACTGGAGAGATCAAACTAGTCTAATCACTGTACAATCTTTGGCCAATAATTACAAGTAGCAATCAGAGTGATTGTGACAATGTTGCTGCAATGTAGTATCAGGGATTACATTGATACTTTATTGCAGTTTAGGCCCCAAAACCCTCTGTGAAATTGGGGATGTATCTGTATAGAGCCTTACCCTTTTACCACTGAGTCTCTTCCCTTCATAGATGGAACCTTGGGGAGTCTCCACTTGCACAGGCTAGAGAGGATGAGAGGAAAGGAAGAGAGAGGAGAGTAGAGACCAACGTTAGTGTATGGTTGTGCACAGAGCGTAGGGGGCAATATAGTATTGGCCATGTGTCTGCAGGTGTGCAGGGCCACTCACCTTGAGGGGCAGGAAGGAGAGGGCGTGTTCTATCAGGAGCCTCATTAATCTCTTGGAGTAGAAGATGAACTCATCACGATTAGTGTCCTTATTCCTGCAGGCAGGCACACACACCGGGTTAGGGGACAGTGACTGCGTGAGGGGGTGTGTGTATATTCATTAAAAACCTGTGGCAGTGCAGAGTAAGTTTTGAGAGGGTGAGAAATCGGGCCCTAGCGGTCACCCAGAGCTATACGCTCTTACCTGATGATTGTGTGCATGCCGCGGACCTGTGGGGTGCTCTCCAAGACGCTGAGGGTCTTGGGTAGGGGCTGTCCCTGGTGGGCCGAGGCCAGAGCAGACCTTCACAACATAGAGACAGTCAGACCACTGTCCCCTGCTGGAGGCACCACAGTACAACAACACACAGACATCACATCACATCAAACCAGGGGGACAAAGGTAAAATACCACGGAGATATTTTACTTTCCTCCTCGTAAACATGTATTGCATTATGGTGGTCACAGATGCACAGCCAGGCAAAGTGTGGTGGGGGAATAGTGCACAGGTACTGGCAACAGCAATGCTTTAACAGGCTCCTCTGGTACTGTCTGGAGCATATGGTGCTTTACCGGCAGACAATTGAACGTAACATCACTAGGACCATTTCAAATCTAGAAAATAACTATTACGTTGTACAGTTCTAAACAGTGGTTCTATTGATAAATAGAAATGCCATAAAGCAATTGAGCACTTGGCTATGTGTTCTGCATTGTTGTTGCCAATACAAGAAGCCAAGACAACTCACTCTCTAAATACTGTAGTACTGTACTGGAATTAGATGTTTGAATGTATATATCTGGTACCAAAATACAGGACAGTTAAGACTGTAGAAATCATAGAGAAAACTGAATGAATAAAGCAACTGGTTAAGAGGACAAAGAAAAACAATATCTTGGAAAAATAGCAATGACAGCAAACAAAGGTTGTTAGCTTTTGTTCAGGGGATATGTTAATATATCATAAAAGAGGAGGAAATGAGAGGGGGAGATCAAACTTAAGAGAAGGAGGAAGATGCAGGAGTTTATCCTCACATATCCCAGCGGAGTTTCCTCTGGAGAAGGTGACAAATATTCATTTTGCGAGAACAAGAGTGATGACAAAGAAGAGAGGAAAGAAAGGAGGAAAAGAAAGAAAATACATCCCAATTAGACAGCAGCAGGCCAGAGTAGAGGCCCTATGATATCTGTGGAGAAGCTGAGAGGTCAGGATGGCGGTGTGAAGGCCGGGGGCCAGGCTGAGAGGGGCCCCTGGGGGGGTGAGTTAGGGCCCCTGTTCAGCTCAGCAAGGGGACGGCTTTAGGACCAGACGACATCACCATGGTTATGAGCTCTGACTGGGAGTAGTAAAAAAATAAAAAAATAAAAAATAAATAAACTCAAGGGTATACTCAGTCCTTGGTTAATGTGATGTTTGCTTCTGATCTTTCGATAAAAAGGAATTCATTACATCTACTATCAGCTACTCCCAGCAGTTTTCTTTAAGGTCTTAACCAGAGCTCAGTGGAACCATAGAGATGTCATCCTTCTGGTGTTAGCGATAGCTTTCATGACTGACAGTGTGGAAGAAAGACAAAAGGAGGTGCACAGCCTTTCAGTTGCTGTTTGGGGTTTTAGGCTGGGTTTCTGTATAGCACTTTGTGACATCTGCTGATGTAAAAAGGGCTTTATAAATAAATTTGATTGATTTAGTTTACGCAAACATTTGGGCACCTTGATTAGTTGATAATGTCAACATCAGTGAAAAATGCCAAAATGGTCAAATAAATAGTAACATGAGTACTCTGTCAGACTGGGCACATCTCCTTTTGTCATTTCAGTGCTCTCTGAGCTTCTGCTGAGAGGAAACAGAATGAAAAGACAGAGGTACCACGAGAGAGAGAGAGAGGTAGAGATATGAGGGGTGTGGCAGTCATACCTCACTGTGATTTCACGCTGAGACGGTTAGAGTGCATTATTCAGTCAGGGTTTAGCAAGTATTTGATTACAAACACACACAGGGAGGAGAGAAATAAAAACAAAACTCATGAAATGAGACAAGCCATTCCAACCCTCCAAATGTCCCCAGTCCCCACCTCCCTTTAAATAAACACAAACACAAGGCAATGATATTACATTCCCCTCCATTTTGCCATGAATCAGACAGACAGTGTTTCATCAGATAAGCTCTGAGTGCCTTTACTTTACTGCTTTTCCATTTGCACGCAATGCAGCTTGTATTTCCATCATTTAAAATGAACTGGTACCTCTTTCTCTGTACAGGTTCTACTCCTGCATTAGATCAGGCTACATTCTGGTGCAGCAAGGCCCAGTGCACAGCATGGGAATTTAATTTGAAATGTGCATTTTTGGGGCAATAAAAAAAATGGCAATACAGTATTCAGCTCCTTTTCCATATGGAAAACCCATGGAGGGGCATCATTGATTTACTTGTTTTATCTATTAGTCTGATAAACAAAATAGTTCCTACATAGTATCTAGTACATGTCAAACAGAATGCCCCTAAGCTCATGGCAAAGTGTGGCAACCTAACCAAACCAGGGGGTTTCCTAACCAGAAGTACTATAGTGGGCCCAGTAGTAGCAGTCTTGCTATATGATGTCTCTTAGTGGAGGGTGTTATAGTTCATTAGGCTATAACAGGCCCTGTCCTCATCAGTCACTCATAATGATCTATGGAGGACGAGCTGCCGCCGTCTCTCCCCACTGGACATCATTCATTACTTGATCCACACCGCCGAACACTCAATGGCCTTTTATTACAGAGATCCCTTAATCCACAAATCCTCACAGACACACACACTTTCTGCTTTCTCCTTTGCACATGCTTGATCTCTCGCTCTCTTACACACACACACACACGCCGACAGGTGAGACTCTGAACGTGAATGGCGTACACTTCAGACACAAGTCACGTGATCATGCATCACTCCCCACCCAACCCTCTCCACCTTCCATCTTATCTCTCTCTCTGTGACAGATGGTTTGTCATATTACAGTGATGATGGTTCAAGGCACCACAGAGCCACATACACTGAGTGTACAAAACATTAAGAACACCTGCTCTTTCCATAACATAGACTGACCAGGTGAAAGCTATGATCCCTTATTGATGTCACTTGTTAAATCCACTTCAATCAATGTAGATGAAAGGGAGGAGACAGGTTAAAGAAGGATTTTTAAGCCTTGAGACAATTGAGACATGGATTGTGTATGTGTGCCATTCAGAGGGTGAATGGGAAAGACAAAATATTTAAGTGCCTTTGAACAGGGTATGGTAGTAGGTGCCAAGCGCACCAGTTTGTGTGAAGAACTGCAACGCTGCTGGGTTTTTCACACTCAACAGTTTCCCGTGTGCATCAAGAATGGTCCACCACCCAAAGGACATACAGCCAACTTGACAACTGTGGGAAGCATTGGAATCAACATCGGCCAGCATCCCTGTGGAACTCTTGACACCTTGTAGAATCCATGCCCCGAAGAATTGAGGCTGTTCTGAGGGTAAAGGGGGGGAGGGGGAGGTGCGCAACTCAATATTAGGAAGGTATTCCTAATGTTTGGTATACTCAGTGTAGATCATGGTTTGTAGGGACATAGATCATGGTTTGTAGGGACATAAATGGGACGTCTGACAGCAGAGAGCACAGTGTTAAAGATGGGAGTTAGGACTTATGGGTCATGGCACTGACAGATAAGTTGGGTGTCCTTGACGCACGCACACACACACACACACACACAGGTGTGCCTTTCAGTTATTAATCCATTCTCGTTACGTTCCCTTAGTGAACAGAGGGTTGGGTTGAGTTCAGCCTGATACCAGAGACAGGGAATGTACATGACAAATTCATAACCTGTGGTGCTGAATCCCGGCCACTAGAGGGCGGAAGTGGAGTGGGCAACTGGTTGAGTCAACTTCTACTTGGAGACCAGCCTCTGGGAATTGAGGATTACCTTGGAACTACCAGATTGAAACAGTGCAGACAGGACAGCTATATGAGTCTGCTGGTTTTAATAGGACATGTAGTCTTGAGAGATCCTATGAGAATGAGACTCATCATTTCATTAATCCTTTCATTAATCCAGTACTGACCAACCCATGTTGAGGGATAGGACAGGGTTCAGAGGTCATGGGAAAGGTCAGGAGTTTTTCCTGGTAGGGAAGGTGTCAGGAAAAACTCCTGACCCTAATCATGAACCATGGGATAGGGGTCATGCACAAACTGAGCATGGTGTGAGCCAGAGAGATGACACCATGTACAGAGATAGGGAGGGTCTTAGGTACATGCTTTTAGGTTAGGGTCTATGGGCAGAGGTATAGGAGATAAAAACCTATTATTCACACATACCTTTTCAAGCTGACTGTGAACATGCTGCACAATCAAGTCCAAGGCAACAAAGTTCTCACCCCCTGAAACAATCAAACACACATCTATTTTATAGCAGAATCACTATAGATATCATTTGTAAAATGTTTTTATTGTTCTGAATTTAATCTAAAGACTCTACACATAGAAGCAGTGTTTCTAACACTGTGGTAGTACGTATCTATCTACAAGCCACTCACCCCTGGGGACCACAATATCCGCCACCTGCACAGTGGGTTCGATGTACTGCTCAAAGGACGGCTTGACAAACTTGTTGTACTGCTTGATGACCCCGTTGATGTCCCGGCCGCGGTCCGATATGTCCCTCTTCAGACGCCTGACCAGACGGATGTCTGAGTCTGTGTCCACAAACACCTTCATGTCCAGCAGCTGGGGGAGGAAGATAGACGAAGAGAAAGAGACAAAGGGTTAAGAGAGGTCATGTACATAACCAATGGTAGAAGTTTTAAATATTACAGATATGACTTTTCATAGGGCAATGTTTCCCTAAGATATCATTTCAAGGTGGGGTGCTGGGTAAATGCCCCCACAGCAACATTCAGGGTAACCCACCTACATGATGGTTGGGGAATCAATGTCCCAGTGTCAAAATACGTTAAATGGGAATCTACTGTAAAGATGGCCTATTGGGTCTTTGATGCTCTTTGAACACACATCAATAGAAACACAGCCGTCACCAGCCAGTCAGTGGAAACTAAAGGCAGAGCTCAAAGCTCTAAACTCAGAAAAACTAAAGTTAGGAGGATTAATGGTCCAGCAGCACCACTGTATGTGACGGAGACACAAGAATAGGCAACAATCCAAAACCAAGAGCTATAGATGACTATCTGGCCATTAAGTGTTGGAGCGTAAACTCAGAGAACCAATGAGACTGTCAGTCACTGGGCAGTAAATCTGCTTCCTGACCAACCGGGCCAGCAGAGCGGTCACCCTATAGGAGGAGAGGATGAGGAGTGGGGCTCTAGCCGCTCCACATGACGGACCATGATAAGACATAGCAGGGGCTTGGAAGTAGATCAACCTCTAAGCTGCCCTCCATCTCTCTGGGATCAGACTCAGTCTCCCTCTCTATCGCTCTCTCTCTTACTGGAACCTCTGTCATTGGGGGGGAAAAAACTTGAGCAGGGCAGTTTAGGAACGTTTTATACCACTGCAGCTTAAAGATGGCAGCTCAATGCCGGGCAAGAGTGGACCGGACGCTTGGTGCAGTCAGCACGGTAATGTTTGTTGGAGTCATGGCAAAGGGTTGAGAGGGAGCGAATTTATAGGAAAGTAAATAAACCGGTTGATAAGAACATTTAGTACTAAGTGAGCCACAATTACAACAAAAAGACTACAACACTTCTATAGAAATAACGAAATTGAAAGTACATCCAGTTACCTGGATTGTTTGTTTGGCTTATCATCCTAGCCCAGCTTAGCCCAGCCTCTCTGTACAAAAGCTGAACTGATAAATCACCAGGAACAGAAGTGCTTTGCCAATGCAAACACAACCACTCAGATTTAAATTTGTATGGATTTCTGTACACACACACACACAGCACTGGTGGATCGAAGGGAACAAAGGGACCAATCAACAGCACCATTAATAAAACACAGTCTTGTTCATTCACTGGCACACTGATCAGACACTAGGGCTGGGAATTGCCAGGGACCTCACGATACGATCCTATCACGATCCTTAGTTGCTGATACGATATGTATTGTGATTCTATATGTATTGTGATTCAATACTGTGATTTTATTGCGATTCGATGTTCCAAACATATTGCTCACCATATGTCTGCTGCAGAGACAAGAGAGCCATGAGAAAAGGAGTTATGATCAGTCATGGAAATAAGTGCTGAAACAAATTGGCTCCCTATTTAAAAAGATGATGGAGAACAGTTTTGGTTCAGGTACAGCCAAATAGCGCAAAAATAATATTGAGATATTGTCAAAGCGATATGATATATCGTCAAAAATAATATCCCCGATACATAACTATCGATTTTTTACCCCATCACTACCAGACACACACACCCTCTAGTTCAGGGGTCTCCAACAGGTCTACCTATGAGTAGCTCGCCAAACAATTCCAAAAGTATATGCAAATTTTTCCATCGCATGTGTTCTATCGCAAACTGTCAAACTAATCTCACAAGTTCCAGACACCACCCCAGGTACTACGTAATCAACCCCTGGTTAGCCCCTATTGGCTTAAAATGCCAAACCTAACATAATATTTGCCAATTAATTTCCAGCAATATTGCCCGTCTGTCTGTGTGGTGCGCACGTTTGTCTATCGCTCTGTGTGTAGCCAGTTGATGTGATAACCGTCTTGTGGGTTGACAGAAATGCTTTCCCCAAAACCTTCTCAATTAATAGTTTACTGCAAAGTAGGCTTACCTGACAGACGTATATTATGAGTAAGTATATCATTTGTATCTATTATTTGCAAACTTTGCCATGAAATGAGCAGCAGCAGTACAGAACCATGGCTAGAACAGTACAGAACCATGGCTAGAACAGTACAGAACCATGGCTAGAACAGTACAGAACCATGGCTAGAACAGTACAGAACCATGGCTAGAACAGTACAGAACCATGGCTAGAACAGTACAGAACCATGGCTAGAACAGTACAGAACCATGGCTAGAACAGTACAGAACCATGGCTAGAACAGTACAGAACCATGGCTAGAACAGTACAGAACCATGGCTAGAACAGTACAGAACCATGGCTAGAACAGTACAGAACCATGGCTAGAACAGTACAGAACCATGGCTAGAACGGTATATTAGGACGGCACATTCCTCACTCGCATGATGTGCAATTAAAGGGGAATTACACTCAAATCAATTTGTTAGTTCTCTATTTTCCAAATTGTCTTCTGATGTGATTTAACCCCCCCCCCCCCCCCCCCCCCCCCCCTTTAAGTTCTTTATTAACCATTATTTTACCAGGTATATTGACACAAAACATAGTGCACTACTTTCTCTTGTACACTAAGGACCTGGGGAAGAGTTGCAGGGGAGAGAAGAATGCGGCCATTTGAAAGCTAGAATAAAAAAATGTGTAGCACGCGACTTAAAGTAGCTCTCTTGCTAGAAAAGGTTGGAAACCCCTGCTCTAGTTATAATGGAGAGAGAACGAGAGTCCAAGGCAGGCTACAAGTCCAGGACAAATGTGATTGGGTCTATCTGGTCACCTCATGGATCATACCGGTCTAGACTCTACTTCATGGATTTAGATGAGCCAACATGGTCTTTGTAACAAGTTGTATACCTATGTTGTAATAAAGAGGACCAATACAATCAAAGCTGACAAGGGCTGCCTGTAGAACTGCCATCAATTCTACTACAACAGTACTAGTAGTATTGTAGCATTGTTCTAAAGGGAAATTATTCATGCACTCTTCTCTGAAGAGAGCTGGGCTTCAGGTTAGTTATGTTTTACTCTAGCCAAGACTGCTGCAGCACTGGGTCCCCAACAATACCCCACACCCTCCATTTCTATCAGTCAATCCCCAGCCCAGTCACCCATAGCCAGCCCCTGGATGAAACCTAATCATAGCAGATAGCTGTGAGCAGGGGAAAGTAGAACAGTGAATACAGAGCCATCCGGCAGAGCGAATCCATCTAATTTCCCTGAATCTGCTTCAGGATGGCAGTGGCACTCCATTAATCAGCCTGGCTGGCATCTCTGCAACAGTAATTAATCAGGTCTGCTAGGCTGGTGGGGTAAGAGAGAGGGAGAAAAGAGGAGCAGGGAGAGGGTGGATGACTGGAGACCAGAGAGAAGAAGAAATACTGTAGAAAGGAAAAGGGAGCATTTCATCTTCTTACACTCACCTTAAAGCGGGTTATAATAACTCAACACAGCCTTACCTTCAAAAGCTCCTTGTTGGCAAATGCCAGAATCCCCTCAAATATGACAACATTGGCACCGTAGACAGTTTTCTGAAAAAAAGTACACACCATAAAGAGTTTATCACCACACAAAGCAGATGGTGTACAGTGTACATAATTAGGCAGACAGACAGCGTATGGCAGAACGGGGACTGGGCCAGGCTTCCCAGGCCTTATGAAGGATGTGCCCACCAGGTGTGTAAGGTAAGGGCGTGGGCACATGGCTGGCAAAGGGAGACCGGTGGGTTGGCGAGAACGGGCCCAACTGACTCGTTAAGATCAGATGTTATCATAATTAAAAATCAAGTTGTCCAAACAAGAGATGGGCTCTCAGTGACTCAAAGGGTCCAGATTTAACCGTGTCTGTGCACGCTTCAGACATGTATCACTCAGGTAGTACTGCCTAGTCAGGGAGCTACAGTCTCAATCCCATTACAGGAGTCTGACGAGCTCAGAGCTGCAGTTAATGACCAGGCTACCTCCGTATTGATCAGAAAGAGGGGATCTCATACAGAGAGAGAGGATAGTGTTCATGGTGTCATTCATTTATCACATTATTACCCCCTGGTGATATAAAACTATTTTTTTGTTACAAGTAATGTTATCGTTTCCCTGGATAGCGTAGCTTCTTTCAGCCATGAAATTGCATTGAGTCTTGAGGATATGAAAGTAAACATTAAAACACAGAATGCAATTCTCATAACGACATACTCACTGTTGATAGTCGATACATGCAGTGGTTTTAAATTCATACAAGCATTTTCTTTGTGATTACTGCTGAGACACAAAAGACCATCATTGAAAGTGTCTTGCATCTCTTTTATTTATATTTATATATTAAAGGGATAATCATGAAACTCCTGTCAATTTATTGAAAGCATATGTTTTATCAGTAGGTAAAATAACTTTTCACCATGATTTAACTTCTAAGTGGTCTGTCTGTGAAATCGTGTAGGAACTCGTCATACCTATAAAAAGATTCTCGTCACTGGAGATAGGGGATAAAACTATCACATTTCATAACGCTTTTAAAACAATTACCTGCACTCCAGATCGCCAATTCAGCCAATAGATGGTATGGGCATACTTGTCTAGAACACATCCATCCATTTATATCGTCATGAAAAAGTATAGATTTCACTTAGATGTGCTCAATCTAAACAATGTACCAAATTATTAAACTCTGTTTTTCCTTCAAGTACCATTAGGCAATACGCCCTGAGTCGGTGGAAAAGGGCAGTTATTGCCATAACAATGTCTGCATGCACAAAGACGAAAAGCAGGATCAACTTGGTGAGATTATAGACTCCTACATCGATAGTGCAGTTTGTTTAGGCGATTTTACAGCTAGCTAGCTACTTCACATGCTGATATTGACTTTGGCATTATTGTGTAGCTACTTTTGCTAGCTAGCTACCTAGCTAACCAGCCCAGAGAGAGAGCATTGCATTGTGGGTTTTGTAGTCTAATTGAGTTCCAACAGATTTCCACCACAATTTTCACGTTGCGACCAAGGTTGTTATAATGATAAAATGAAACATTTGTTCACAAACAATATTGTTCTCACATATTAGTGTTATTTAACACTGTAAATCATAACAATGCGTGGTTTTGGGTGGATTATTGCTTTAAGACAATTTTCTGAGTCTGCCTTACCCACTCCTTGCGGCGGCAGTGAGAGGTGAAGTCGTAGATGGGTACTTTGATACTCTTGCCCTTCTTTAGCTTCCTCAGAACAGTCACCAGCAGCTCAAAGTCAAAGGCCTCTGGGTGGTCAAAGTTATACTCATTCTTAGCTGCCAGCTCCTGCTCATCTTTGGTCAAAACCTGGGGGGAGAAACAAGGTCAGGATTCAGGAATTCAATTACACTCTTGCCTGACCTGCATTTGTGTAGATCTGAGAGCATTGGATAGGTTGAAGCAATATGGCAAACATTCCACCCATCAAAGGGCAAGATGGAGCTATTTCAATATTCCTACAGTCCATGCCTTTGCGATGTACACAATAAACTAGGTGTAGGTGCTAAGGGGGCCTATTTGGCCAACAAAGCATGAGTTGTTAGAGCCATTCCCTTGTCACCTAAAATGAGAACATGGCCGCTACTGTAAAACATACTTAAACGCCATCGACTTTTGTTTCCAACACAGCTAGGGACATAATTGATATTAATTATTCCATTAGCTCCCTTATCGGTTAGGGGTTTATGCAATTGAAAGCTCAAATCAGGATGAATTACCAACCGTTTGGAGGGTTGAGGACAGAGCAGGGTACACACAACCACCAGGCTCTGTTGTTCTGCTTCACTGATCAAGTTAAGCAGAGGCAACTTTCTTGAACAACAGGGAACCAATTCAATCAATCTCTTGGAGCAGATGCAGCATTCTCAGAATTCTATTGAGTTGAGTGGTTCTGTCTGGGTAGACTGAGCATGCCTCTAGAGGGTATTGATAGTTCTGTGCTCCCCAGGTGTTGCTGCTTCCATACTCAAATCAGAGGGGAAGCCAATAAAGCATTCAGCATGAAGCGGGTCAAGAAATTACATTAACTGGCTAGTTTACCTTCAACAGAATGTCTTATAAGTATACCTATGAGTTATTCCTGAACCTGTGACCTCACCAATGATAAATTCCAGGCCCTACTTATAAACATAGCTTATTATGCAAGTTTACCTTATAGAAAGAGTCCATGGAGAGGAGGACCACCCAGGGAACATCCAGAGCCTCGATGATCTTATTGGCCACTGTGGTTTTCCCAGAGGCACTTCCTCCACAGAGGCCTGCAGGAAGAAACAGGAGGGGGTAAGACGGGGCTCCTGACAAACGTACACTAGGAATCTAAAACAACAACCCTGGGAGTGAATCCAACAATAGATGCTGTGGTTGTGAAAAACTGGATGCTGCACAGGCAGTGGAACCCCTATTATTAAGTACTGAATACATAAATCAGAGAGGTGCAGATAATACAGGGTGCAGTTCAAAACTGCCGAGTTAGGCTACAAACTTGCACAGAAAGAATTTGAAAGATAACAAAATGGAACTGAAAACTGCCTGGATAAGCTGTTTTTCAAAATATGTTATTTAGCCATGTTGTCACAACAAATGAAACTCAGCCATCAGACTGACACAGAACATGAACTGACCCATCCAGTAAATTAAATTAAATCTGGCTAGAATTGTTGACTAGAGACACTATCAAACAGCTCTGGCTCTGATGATTCAGGGATAATTTTATGTGCTCACCATCGCTCCTCACTCCTCTCCCTCAGACCTCTGAGACAGGTTGATTATTCTACATGAGCAGACTTCCTACCATTTCATCCACAGTAGCAGAGTGCTGGCCAGAGCAGAACAGCAGGATGGCCTTTTTACAGGAATCATCAGCCAGGACAAATCCAAGTGTGAAATGTAACCAGTCAAGTCCGGCTCATTGAAAGTAACAGATTGCGTACTAAAGATAATAGCCTTTGTGTCAGTCAGCAGCACTCAAGCCGATCAGATATGTTTAAACAAAGCATGGTCCGGCTGGGTAATTCATACACATGGTTCACTTCATTATGGTGTGTAAAGCTCACAGGGGTGCCTTACTGGGATGACCAGAAGGACCCACGCCAACAGTAGAATATAAGCTTCAACCTAAGCTAGCATGGAGGATGCCCTCAGCACTGATGATGAGCGCCTATTATTTTATGGTTTCTGAAAACCTTTTTCAAAATGTCTTTCCAGTTTCCACACTGCCTATCAACTCTCCAGGACAAGGTTTGGTGACTTACCACTGCTGTGCATGTCATTTCTGTTCATTAAGTTGAGTTTGAGGTTTGAGTTTGCAGGTAATGAGTCATGACAATTAGAGCCCTGCACAGGCATGAATTTTATGCAACCATAGTACTACCCATGGCCGCAATGTTCAGGCCCTACCCTACCCAGATTGCGTCTGCCAAATGTAAGGCCCTGCCCGAAACCAGAAACAGCATTCTCCGTTAGTAAATTCATTAGGTGCTCCTCTCTGTCTGTCACTCACTCCCTGTGCAGGCAGCTCGCTCTGCATGCACTCTGCTCATGGAGGCGCCAAGTCTGTGAATAACCATAGCAACGGCTCTGCTTGGGCTGCTCTGCCAGAGAAAGGAGGAGATAGGAATCCCATTGGGCAATGAATGGAGGAACGTATAACGCCCCACCCAGCAGACTGTCGACCAATCGCGTTCACATTGTCATCTGGTTGCTAAACTAATAGTCACGCAATCCCTTCTCAAAGTCAGGGTGAGTTGAGAAACATGCCTATTGTCCTCGAAAGTATGTAATGTCACGATTCCAAAGCTATACAATTTACAGATAACAACTTACTTATCTAAAATCTTGGAAAATATTTGTAATGTTGTACTTCTTTTTGACGAAATTCATGCTAATGTTGGGTTTTTGAGCTAGCGCCCAATTGACTCCCATTCCCTCCTAGATGTAGAGCTCTCCTTGTCCCAGAATTGCCTAGAATGCACCATGCAGCCCATTGACGTAGCATGGTCAACGTACACAATGGGCGTTAATACGATTCCAGTGGAGTTTCCCATCTCCTCAAAAGTATCTCTGGCTCTGCTCAACGAACGAAGAGACATGAGAGAGCAGTTAGCTGTTAGCTACTTTTGGTCACTCTAAACTCAACGAACATTATCATTTTTTTGAAATAATATCTCCTGTCCTATATTTCACGAGGTTGAAGCACTTCTGACACCATGTTATGATCTTCGTCCGATATGACTGTACTGCGCAGCAGAGCACGAGCAAATGTCTCAGCTTCAAAATGTTAATGATCAACTTAGTGGTACCCGAGCCCTACCATTAGCCTAGTTATTGATGAAAAAAACAGGCCCTACCCAGCCCTAACTCGATGTAGAACGTCGGGGCCCGTTGGGCTCGGGTAGCAGAGCTCTAATAGAAATGTCAAATGACAGCTCTCTTACCAATGACAAAAGCCTCTTTGAAGGTGGTCCCAGTGACATTGTACCAGGGGGGCCTTCCTGCAGTGTAGATGGTCCTCTTGTTGGTCCTCAGGAGAGGTGGCTCAGTCTTGCTCTGGCTGGTGGTCCGTTTCCGTGGAGACAGCGAGGGGGTCAGAGGGCAGCGGGGGTGCTTCGGAAGACTGCCCAGAGAATCATCTCCACTGCCACACAACAATAACACAAGGGACAAAAAGGTTAGTTCCACTCAAATTCAGCCTAGTCATTATTTAGCGCTCTTCACTGGATAACCCATTAACTTTGAAGAGATTTTCCATTGAAGAGGATTGTATTATAGCTATTAACTAGGATTAATCTGTGACACGAATCACTTCAAACATCCACTCACAAAAGCCATCATATCCATATATGCCATCAGAGATGCCATTTAAGCTCATACCTGCCCCATGATGATGATCAGGACAATGATCTGGGCAATTTGATTACAATGTCTCTGTCCTGTGGAGAGAAAAGAGAGGGGGTCCATACACTCGAGGAACCCTAATTAGTAGCGCTCCACAGTTCTGTACTGTCTGTGTAGGTGAGGGAGAAGGGGAAAAACTTGTCCACCCTCTCCAGGAAATCACACAGTTGCCAGGGGGCATGGGGCAGGCACTCGCATGAGTAAGGCTGTCATCATTTGGTCAAATAGAGTAGAAAATAGAAATGTATGTCTAAAAGTGATTTCCTTACCTACTCTTCCTCTTCACTAATCTGAAAACACAGGACAAGTGAAAGAAATGTGGTCATTCAAATAGGCAAAAGGAGAGAAAGACACTTTAGACTATTGAAATTAACACCTGGACGTTCATATTGAGTGTTGTTGCTCTGCTACAATGCTAACTAGGCATCTGAATCACTGCACCCACATTCACAGCCACGTCTATGTGGTGATGGTGCATTAGCTAACGTTTGCTAATGTAGCATTAGCAATTAAACATTATCCTAGCCGGACGGCTAGCTAATTCATTGAGTACATACAACGTAACTAGGCAACATACTTAGCTTGCTTCCATCATTGTAGCTGAGATATTGAGTATAAGCTCACATAAATAATTTATTTCAAATAAATATTAGCTTTGCCTGGCTAATGATAGCTGGCTGGTTAGCATGCCAACCCACACGACACACTGTCGGCCTGTCTCTGTATTGCTGTATCTTTGTTAGCCTGTAACATATATCAATTATTTATACATACCTGTCCGATCTAGACGTCGACCGGTCTTCTTCTTTCTCACCCTCTTCTTTTTGTGGCATCTGGACATCGTTTTGGTTCATTTTCATTGCCATGTTTCCATCTCGTACACACCGCGGACAGCGCGTAAACAGACACTGGAGGAAGCGTCCTGACGTCACCCTTTGTGTACATGTGCGTGCGTGGAGTGCGCTCCATCCTCACTTGTTGGCAGACCATAGAAGAGGCTAGATAGACAGTCGATTTTAACGTATTAATAAGGAATTCCACTAGACCACGCCCAGAAATTGGGGACAAACAAACATAATTTCCCATTGAAAAATAGCCAATTTCGCAGTCGATTTTTTTTTTGGAAAGAAATAACAAAACATGCCGAAAAGCTGCTGTGTTGCTCAATGTACATGTAACCATGTCAAAATAGAGCTAGCAAGAAGAGCCCTGTGGCTTCAGGCTATTCGGCATGGGAGAGTGGGAAATGTGGGGACCCGGTGTCCAAGTAGGCTACACGTAGCTGTGTGTGGAAAACATTACATCACATTATGTTTGTTTGTCCCCAATTTCTGGGCGTGGTCTAGTGGAACTTGTTTAGTATAGTCTGTCCGTTTTTAACCCCACACACAGTATGAGTCATAATACCAATAAAACCTAGCAGTCAAACAAGGAAATGGTTCCAATCGTTTTTCCACCATTCATTTTCCCCATAGGGGATTTTAGAAACACTTCAAATAAGGGCTGTGTTTCATGTATGCTTACCCTGGCATTACGTTTTGATAACCTGTATTGGCCTGTATTTACCCACCAAAAATGAAATGATAATTATCTGCTAATGTGGCTATCAAAGAACTACAATTGCCATGATCTGAACGAGACTGACAAATCCAGGCAAAGGTAAGAATCTCTGGATTAACTATTTAATGTTAGCTAAATGTAGTAATGAATGTAGCAATATTGATGTTACTCATATTGATGTTACACAGGAAACGGAAACCAGTTGGGACTTACTGTATGAATGTGCGGGTTGACAACATGCCTAGTAAAGTTTGCTTAACCATATATCTTTGTCTGTCGTGACTACAACGCAAAGCATATTGAAACATGGTGGCAGCGGTACTCAAAAGAACCTGGATCTCATCGATGTAAAGGAAGAATACATCCCAGGCGGCAGTTTGAAAAAGTGCCGCGTTTACAGGCTAGTCATTGCGCCAAACGTTAATGTTAGCTAGCTATCGTATCCAATAGCTAGCTGGCTATTGGATACAAGCAGATTTGTAAGTAGCTAACGTTCCATTCTACAAATAAATCGCCATGGAAAATGCACTGAAACCTCCGGGAAAAATAGACTTTGATGATTGCAATTTAGCACTGACCTGGAAAAGATGGAAAGAGGAATTCAATTTGTACATGGCTCTTACAATGAGAGAAAAACCTGAGGATTACAAAGTGAAGCTACTGTATTATCTCTGTTGAGGAAGTAATTGCAGCACTGGATGCATTTTGTGATCCCAAGAAAAATGAAACAATTGAGAGATATAATTGTTTAATGCAAAGTCTGGGCCAAGATGAGAGTTTAGACAAATCTCTCACTGAATTGAGGACTCTAGTGGCCACCTGCAACTTTGGAGTAATCACAGACTCTCTTATCAGGGACAGGATTTCTGTGTGGCACATGTGACCCACACTTAAGAGAGCGCTTACTCAGAGAGACTGATCTCAGTTTAGAGAAATGCCTACAGATTGGAAGAGCTGCAGAACTGTCCAGACAGAGAGCTACAGTCATAAATGTGCAGGGCCCTGTAGCAGTGCATGCAGTAACACAGAAAGATAGACCGAGAGGGAGAGGAGACCCTACAGAGGGACAGAGCATTGTACAATGCAGATACTGTGGACGGACACGAGAGAAAAAAGGAAAAATGCCCTGCATATGGACAAAAATTTAAATCCTGTGGAAAAAACAATCACTTCTCTACGGTTTGCAAAGGTGCAGGGACCAGCAAGAGAAACAGAGTCCTGGCAATGGAAAATGCGTTAGCTGACTCAGAGAGCGGTGAGGATGTTTTCTTCATCACACTAGGGCCAAAGTCAGAGAGCATCAACGTGGTGCAGGAGAAAACCACAGACCCCATTGCAGCTCTCTTTGCAACCATGCTGGTCAACAAAAGGTCAGTCCGATTTCAGCTAGATTGTGGTGCTAGTTGTAATGTTATCCCTGCAAACCTCATAAAAGCCAGTCACCTAGAGCCCTGCAGTCAGGTATTGGTGATGTATAACAAGAGTACTCTGACGCCACTGGGGAAGTGCACACTTAAAGTGATCAATCCACGCAATAAGAAAACCTACCGAGTTGTGTTCATCGTAGTCAACAAGAATGTGCACAGGCCCATTCTAGGCAGTAAGACTATCCAGGCAATGGAGTTGATTACTGTGCAGCATCACAACATCCTGGCCATCGAGAAAACAACAGGATCCTGGACTAAAGAGCAAATTAAACGAGTACTCTGATGTATTCCAGGGAGATGGATGCTTACCCGGCAAACTGAAGCTGGAAGTGGATGAGCAAGTGGAGCCCGTCCAGCTGCCAAAGAGAAGAGTGCCAGTAGCACTATATAAACCACTCAAAGAGGAGCTCAGTGGTCTAGAGAAAAGAAGGATGATAAAAGCAGTTGAAAAAAGCACAGATTGGATTAGCAGCCTGATCGTAGTGAAGAAACCATCTGGAAAACTACGAGTGTGCATTGATCCGAAACCTCTCAACAAGGCGCTCAAGAGGAGCCATTACCCACTTTCCACTATTGAAGACGTGCTGCCAGATCTGAACAGAGCATGCGTGTTCTCTGTTTGTGATGTAAAAAATGGATTTTGGCATGTGGAACTGGAGGAGGAATCCAGCTATCTCACCACGTTCTCTACTCCCATGGGACGCTACAGGTGGCTGCGCATGCCAATGGGAATCAGTCCAGCCCCAGAGATCTTTCAGAGGAAGTTGAACCAGGCAATGGAAGGTCTTCCAGGAGTCAAAATCATTGCAGATGACATCCTGATTGTGGGAGAAGGAGACTACGATGAAGCGGCGACTCTGGACCACGACAAAAACCTGAAAATGCTCCTGGACAGATGCAGGAAGCTCAATATCAAGCTAAATCCAGAGAAGTTGCAGCTCAGGTTGAAGGAAGTGCTAACACCAGAGGGGTTGTAAGTGGACACAGGAAAAGTGACAGCCATTAAACAGATGCCTAGGCCTACAGATGTGCAGGGGGTGCAGCGCTTCCTGGGCATGGTAAACTACCTAGCCAAGTTCTGCAGCCACGCCACGGAGCTCTGCGAGCCACTGCGACAGCTAAACACACAAGGACTCACTGTGGGAGTGGTCAGAGAGAAATGAGCAGGCTTTCAATAAAATCAGGGATGCCATTGCACAGACCCCTGTGCTGAAATACTACAACCCAACAGAGCAGCTTGTACTACAGTGTGATGCTTCAGAGAGTGGGTTAGGAGCAGCCTTGATGCAGGGAGGACAACCAATAGCATACGCCAGCAGAGCTCTGACAGAGACTGAAAAAGGGTATGCACATAGAGAAGGAGCTGCTTGCAGTGGTGTTTGCCATGGAGAGGTTCCACCAATTCACATATGGACGAACTGTGGAAGTGCAGTCAGATCACAAGCCTCTAGAGAGCATCATGACAAAGCCTCTCCTCAGCGCACCAAAAAGACTACAACGCATGCTCATGAGACTCCAAAACTATGAGGTCAGTCTCCGATACGTTCCGGGAAAACATGTGGTTCTGGCCGATACCCTGAGCAGGGGGTACCTCACAGAACAAGACAACAGAGACCCTGTGGAGGTCGAAGTGGAATCAATCAATATGATACACTACCTCCCTGTGTCAAGCGAGAGACTAAAGCACATCCAGAGAGCCACTGAGCTGGACCGGGAGCTCCAGACACTGAATAATGTGATCCTGCAGGGGTGGCCTGAAGTGAAAGGACATTTTTTACATTTACATTTTAGTCATTTAGCAGACGCTCTTATCCAGAGCGACTTACAGTTAGTGAGTGCATTTAAAAAATAAATAAAAATCATACTGGCCCCCTGTGGGAATCGAACCCACAACCCTGGCGTTGCAAACGCCATCTTCTACCAACTGAGCTACATCCCTGCCGGCCATTCCCTCCCTTACCCTGGACGACGCTGGGCCAATTGTGCGCCGCCCCATGGGTCTCCCGGTCGCGGCCAGCTACAACAGAGCCTGGATTCGAACCAGGATCTCTAGTGGCACAGTGGTGCAGTGCCTTAGACCACTGCACCACTCGGGAGAGGGACATGTACCCTTGGAAGTAGCCATGTATTTTCACAACAGAGATGAGCTGAGTGTGCAAAATGGAGTTATCTTCAGAGGTGAGCGAGTCGTTGTGCCTACTGCCCTCAGGTCAGAGATAATGCAGAGAATCCATTCCTCACACATAGGAACAGAGGGATGTCTGAGAAGAGCTTGCGAGTGTGTCTACTGGCCAGGCATGAATGCACAGCTGAGAACATACATGGCACAATGTAGCACCTGCACGGCATGGGTTATGAAGCAGCAGAAAGAAACGTTGAGGCCCCACGAAGCACCAAAGCATCCCTGGGAAAAAATAGGGACTGACCTGTTCCAGTTCAACGACTACATGGTCACAGTTGATTATCTCTCCAACTTCTGGGAAGTGGACCATTTGGAGAACACAGTCAAACGGTCATTCGAAAACTGAAGACACTTTGCACGCTATGGGATACCTGACATCCTTTACTCAGACAATGGTCCCCAGATGAGTTCCAAAATGTAACGAAGACTGGATCGCTATCAAGGTAAGGTTAGCCTAGCACAAATGAGCAAATGCTTAATTTACCGTTTATAACCATATATGATCATTATTTGAATTTTCAGACAGTTGCAGCATGAGTTGATCGTTTCTCAAAATATTTAATTAGTTCAGCTTGGTAACAACCTTATTTACCACATAATTTACCACTAGAAAACAGATTAGCTAAAATTAACGTGGGAAAAAATGAAATAATGGCAATAGGAAAAATAATAACTCACGATCTACAGCAATCCTTTAAGTGGACCACAAAAAAATATGAAATACTTTGGAAGCTTAATAAGTGACAACAA